CACACACACACACACACACACACACACACACACACATATATATATATATATATATATATATATATATATAGACTTGAGATCATGTGAGACCAAAGGTTTTTCGTGATATATATATAGGGTTGGATTCACGTGAGACCAATTTATGTTCATTGATCAACTTTATAAACTAATGATCTAATGGTCTAAAGTTGCACGGTGACAATTTTGTGATTATTGAGAAGTCTTGTAGCAATTTTGTGATTATGAATATTGAGATTGTAGATCTAATCAACGGTTGAGAATTGATCTTACAGGTCTCACGAAAAACCTTTAATCTCACATGATCCCAAGTCTATATATATATATATGCTTTACAATGTAAATATTCCCAAATCATTATTTTTAATGTATATTTTTATGTGAAATAACACTTTATTTTTCACATTCTTTGTTTCACAATATAAAACAATACACTATTCATTGATTCTCATGGTTATGGTTCTCCATTGATTATGCCTATATATGGGAGGCTAATCATTTGAGAATCCACAAAATTGTGATACCATGTATTATTTCATATAACTTTTTTTCATCTAAATTTAGGATTTATAATATTGACTAATTAACATATAATTTGACATGTTTGTGAAACACAAATACATGTAGAAACTTTTTACATTGTAGACTTTATACATATGAAACATAAAAATTGTAAAACAAATATAAATTAATCAATATATTAAATATTAATCTCAGATGAAAAAGATCTTGTGAAACAATGACTTAAATTAGTTCTCATGGTTATAACAATGTATGGGGTTTTCATTTGATTACGCCCATATACATATAGACGAAGGACCGTATGATAAGGAAAATTATAGTGAAAAACGTAAGAAAAGATCTGAACCGTTGATCACTTTTAATCTCATACACACCCATTAATTGCGCTTTAGAAGGGAATTGATTTGGTGCATCTCAGTGCACCTCAATTAGTATGGACATTCAATTAGGATTGAACTAAGAGTGTAGATCTCTTTTTACGCTTCTCACCATAACTTCCTTTCTCACCGGGATCCAATCGTTGTGTGTGTGTGTGTGTGTGTATAACAAAACAATTGAAAGTTGAACTGGAACCGATCATAGTACTGAGCCAATAAGGACCGGTTAAAGCTTGATCGAGGCCCTATATGGAGTAGGGCCTGTTTAGGAGATTTGGGCCTAGGAGCAGAACTCGTAATAATCGGTTAAGGGACATGTTAAAGCTCGGTCTTAAGCATCTTTAGATGTTATAAATGTATTTTGTACTGTGATATGTAATTGAAACTTGAGAGGTTCTTTCGGTTCCAAAACAATCAATCACAACTGCAGCATTGTCATCATATCGTATTATCATACCGTTGTCACGTTTTAAGTTCTTTACACGTACGGACAATTACTTATATTTGGTTTAAACTTTACTTTCTCATTTATGACTTTCAGTAATCAACCAAAATCACTTTGATCATTCACCAGATAATAATTATTTTAACGCGTAATTTCAATCGTAACCATGAAAAGCGAATGAAGAAAAAAAATCAAAAGATCGACATTTGTACTAATCTTTCCATGATCTAAACTATAGAAAATAACAAGGTTATTGAAATTTGATTTGATGCTCTTTTTTTCTCCATCAAAATCAGAATAACTATTAATTTGGCATTTTTCATAAACACCACTTCGATCTCTACACGTTTAGTAAATTTGTATCAGAAAATAAATAAGATGTGGCCGATGAAAGAATATAGCTAAAATAATGATACATGAAATGATTTAAAGTTTTGACCCCAACAAAACTCGTATTTATTTTCAAATTACAATATAAATTAATGGGAGGAACCATTTTCTGCTTCAATCAATAGACGAAAATACATACCATATAATAATAAGCGAGTAGATTACCTCTTAGATCTCTGTTATTAC